TATATTATAAATGGTAAAATAATGAGAATGTGAAATCAAAGACTTCCAAATAAGAGCAACAGAACCAGAGAGCTCTGTCCCTGTCTTTTGTATCCCCTCTCGATGGTTTTTCTCTCTCCGTGTCAATCGTCGTTGCAACTGACCTGACGACCGGTTAAGCAATAGAGGAGGACAAAAAAATATCACAGAACCAGAATAATTTTGCGGGACACAGGACCCCTAAATAGCGCACATGTTATAAGGAGTACACACCAATAGGGCGACAGCACTCACGGAACGCTGTGCGTGGTGTATTTGCTGATTGCGCGTATTCTTTACAATGTTTGAACCATTTAGAAGCATTTGTGTTCTGCGAAACCAATTGAAAAATTGCCGGTTCCTTTTTACTGTTTGATTGGATCTTCAGCGGCGCGTCGACTATGTACTCTTCAAGCAGGGTATTCGTTGCCACTCGTTTCTCAAGCGGCTCCTGTATACTACAGACATCTTTCGTTGTAGAGTGAACTAGCTAGCCGGTGTGCGGACTTTAAATATTAATGTGTCTGTGTGTGCGTGCGTGCGTGCGTGCGTGTATTCGAGCAAGCCCGGGCCAAGCCATCGCTACCGCTAGTACTACAAATACAGATGGACCAGCTAACGCACGCACTACAAGCTCCACGACTGTCCCCGCTGGCTACTAGTACAACCACGGCCATCATCGTCAACACCATCGTCATCGTCGTTGCTAGCAGCACACAACCGCAGCGATATCAGTGGCGGCAGCTGAAGCCGGGTATAGGCGACATGGAAGCGAACACATTCATGCAAGCGCTACAGCAGCAGCGGGCTGCTACTGCTATAGACGACGGGCAAGCTGCCTGTGCTGGCAGCCGGTGGCTCGCTTAGCAGTGGCTCAAACGGGCGACTCCGAGCGTGGCGTGGCTTCGAGCAATGGAGCGAGAGTTCGCTGGTTGGCTTGTTGCCGACAGCCGCTGACAAAGCGGCTTCAAGCAGCGTAGTGAGCTACCAAACAGTCGAACGAACGAGCGAGCGAACGAGCAAACGAACCCCGCCGAACGGCAACGCTGGGCTGAGCGAGTGGCGAGCAACAGCATCAGTTAGCCAACTACCAGCCGGCCCATCGGCTCAGGAACAACTGCAATAGCAAGAGTAACAGCACCACGATCGCGGCTACCACCCGCCATACAGTGGCGTGAGCAGCAGCCGCGGAGTACCGGGGAAGGATCGCAGTCGGCAATAGTAGCAAAAGGAGCTCATCGTCTCCTCGTTGGTTCGGTTCCCCCCGGATCGTTGCTGGTCGCCAGCGATTGCCTCCGATTCGACGGTTGATGGTATCTTTACCACCACCACTGCGGCGGTGGCGACGACGACGACGGCAACGACGACGATGTTGGTAACTACTCGAATGACAATGACGGCTATTATGCTGTCAACGTCTGCGCACTACGACCACTGATGTTGCGGTTCGTGTGATTCGTGGATACGATTACGCCAACAAAGATTAGTCATCGTATCTTACGGGAGTTACTGAGGAACATGCAAAAATACTGTACTAAGCCAAGGGGTCGGCGACTAAATGCTTTGCCTAGCAAGCGACACGGCTCGTATGGCTGACGCTGCGCCATGTCGGTTATGTGGACTACATAAAGGGCAACGGATGAAAAATGAAAAGCTCTGTTGTACGAAAACGAAAAATCAAGTGTCAGCAGGCGGTTTGGAAGACGCGGCGACAACTCCCTTCAAGGGATACCGAACAAGAGCAGCAAACTATACCAGAAAGGAGTACGGGAAAAAAGGTCAAGGATGGAGCGGAACAAGAAGTGGCGTTCGTGAACATGTGCGTGTCTGTGTGTGTCACAACGTGGATACGTTCATGCGTGCTTGCGAGCGCGCACTGATAATAACAACGGCGACAACCAGGAAGCACGAGAAAGCAGTTGTAGTACTCGGAGATTTGGGGTGGTTGTGTGAGGTGGTATGAAAGAAGCAAATGAGAATTGAAAGAGAACAAAGGAAGATTTTGCAGTTGATGATGGTGATGATGATTATAGGCTGGAAAACAGAAATAGGGGTATGTCGAATTGAAAGAAGTACGAGAATATCGGGGGACTCAATATTATTATATATATATATATAAAAAAAACTATTAATAATAATGTTTGTTTATTTTATAATAATGATGTATTTTGTTAGTTTTCTACTGCGTGTTTCGTTGAAAAGTTGAAAGCGGTTGTCAAAAGTCCAAATCAGGAACGAAATTTGATCAGTGGATTATTATATTAAGACGCGGTGATCAAGTATGAAACAATGACACGCCTGACTCACCAATATCCAAACAAAATTGAAGAATGTAGTAATGAAAGAAAAAAATAAACGTCAAAGCTGAACAACAATATAAGATCTGAAATGTAATATCTGTCCAGCCTAAGGCGCAGGGCTAACCATTTATTTGAAATAAAGATAAAGCAAGATAGTACTAATGATTATTTCAATCGTTGCCTCGTCATATGGCTGAGCGCGACCTGCTGCCGTATGATTGTGACGACACGATTATGCTGACACGGGGAGAGAGAAAAATAGAGAAGCACGAGAAAAACGGGCGAGCGAACAGTTCCAGACAAGCCCTACCCCGAACCGAATCGCATACGTAGGTTCGGGTGATTTAGGTGCTGAAGGGTGAGAAGGTAGAAGAACGATCTCGCTCAATGTCTAGGTAGTATCTAAGGTGTGGTCTATTTGAGGTAACAAATTTTGGCACACCGTTAAAAAAATCAACAACAACATAACAGTGAATGAGCATAAGCGACGATGAGTGACCGACAACAATAACAAAGGAAATAAGAGGAAGAAATGATGATGAAATATAATTATTGAAGGACGAACATATAAAAATGAAATAAATCATGATCATGATGAAGATAAATAAGATGATAATTATTACAATATTAATTATAATTATAAGAACTATATATAATAAGAAACAGCAGAAAAACTATGCTGCTAATGTCGAACGATATTTACGAGCCGAGTTCACAACAAACAAAAATATAATAGTAATAATAATAATAACTAATGGTCATGTTGAAAAACTAATCGCGATGATATCATTTTACAGATAAATCTAGTTCGAATAATCGTAGTAATAATAACAAAACATAACATAGATAATTTTGACGGCCACTCTAGTAGATGACGAGTTTAAGAACATAGATGGAACAATTTAGTGATTCTATAAATCAGAATATTAGAGATATCACAATAGCCAAGTGAATTATAATTACTATTATAATTTTGTAGTAATCGCAGGAGTGGGTCTGTATTAAGCACTTCGAAAGGTATCATCTTAACAAATTTTATCTGGAAAAATTCTTTTGTCAAAATCTGAACAGCTGTCAGTCAGTGTTTTGCTTAGCTTTGTTTTGAATTTACGACAGTTTAAGTGCTTATGGAAATAATGGTATAGGTTGAAAATTAGCGCATCATGGTCCTTAATGAAGTATAATGCTACGGGCGATGAGTAGGAATGAAGATGTCAAAATTGTTCGACCTCTAATCTCTGTGCCAAATTTATGCGGATTTAACATCAACAGCAACAATGAGTATAGATGGAATAGCATCAGCGACAGTACTAAGGATAAAAGCCGTAAAGATAAAACGACAGCGTAGCCTAGATACATAACACAACGCAACAGCAAAGGGGTGGGCGGTAAAAATGCAGACGGAAAATAGTATCGATAACGAGAAGATACAACAAAAATGCGACAAACGCGAAAGTGAAATGGCAAATGGAATGGGTTCGATGAGAATGAAAAGTTGTAATTGGTCGAAGGAGCGAGTCGAAAATGACGGCCACCAACTCTCGAAGTAAAACATAAAAATAACATGGAGCAAGAAGAAAGCAGGTTCAATGATAACATTTTTTTGTAATATTATTTGTAAATAAAAAAGATATACTTTAAAAGTGAAAATCTTTCGATTCTTTATTTTAGCTAAGTTCGAGCAACCCCATTTGACCTCTTCAACATTATACGAATTTGATATACTTTGCAACTAGGTATTTTCGGTGAAGTTGTTGGACTAGTCAACTCGAACCTCCGCATCATGTCGCATTGTTCCAAAAAAAATTGCTGAACGTGAATATTTCACATCATTTGACGGTAGTTAAAACAAACACCGTCATTTTTGTTCAAATATATAGTAACATTTTTTTGAAGACTAAGTGGTCAAATTCATAACAAACAAGCTTTTCCTGATGATCATCAAAATTTCTCTAATTAGTTATTTTTTTCTACGTAGCTTTTTTTCTTAAATTCCAACTATTTCCAGAATGTCTATAAAAAAAAAACTACCCGTTCTATATAGTAGACAGCAAGGATTAGATGATTTCATTCACTTCTGCTGTCTATTATACTACTAAAATCCTATGGCTGTCTGTTCTGCCGACCCAAATCAGCCTCGTATAATGGTGGTTACCTTTGGATAGCAAAAATTTCCCTCTGTGAAGAGCAGTTCATAAGATAGAACCGATTGAACGCATAATTAATGATAAAATTTCTTCCCCAGAAAGCGTAATCTGACATTAGGCAAACCGACCATTTTTTTCTCGATAACCGTTGAAATTTTGTGAAAGGTTTATATTAAAAAGTTGTTTCTCTTTCACGCACTAGAAAGAGGGTGGCACATTTGATTTAGCGGACAAAACAATTAACAATTTTTCACGTTCTTGCGATTTAGACATAATATGCTGATTTTCATTGAAATGGTCAACAATTAATGACATATGAAGAATTCCAGTTCATTTTTTTCAAGCGTGCGAATATTTTGCCTTGGGAGCAGTTTAATAAGAGGGCATGATTCTAATTTATTTGATGTGCACCATAATTGGTCAAATAAA